CCTCATGCATTTCAAGGAAATCACTTCTCTTCTAACTACAAGCAGACAGAAAGAGCAGACAGTAAAATAAGATAAGACAGCTCGGGCACAGAGGGAGGTGGTGGGGAAGTCTCTTGGGTAATGCCAAACTTTATCCTCATACAATGGGCCCCAGTAAAACGGTGGACCTTAATAAGCACATTCCTTTTCCTTCAGGTTCACTAACATAAGGAAGCTAAAAGCCGACTCCGGAGGATGCCTGCAGCTGCATGAAGATGTATGGGAACAGACATACAACCCTCCCTCCCAGATAAGCACAACAAAGAGACACAGAAGCAGTCCCAGCCTCTAATAAACTCTCCCACCCTGAACCCTTAAAAACCCTTAGTCTGTAAGAGAGTGTGGCTCTGACCTAACTCAGCCAGAAGTCCCTCTCAGGTTCATTTTCTAAAATAAACCTGTCCTTGTTGACTGGCAAGCCACCCTGCATGTTTCTCTCCTCTTTCTTTAATTCTTACAGTGGTAGCAAATTACAATTTGTGCATGTCTTGAATATTTGTATAAGGGTGCCTACATAATTCCAAAACGCAGTATTACTGCCATTTGTTAGGTATCTGTTAGAAATCTAGATATGCCTGATACATACTAGTCAGAGCAAAAAGCCTAATGAATAATAGTGATAGAATCATTAAATCACCATTTATAGTAGCTAAAGAGGCACAAGACATTACCCTATGAGTCCAATTTTGCTTTTGCTCTGGAAACTGCCTCTTGAAAATTTTAATGTGAATTTGCATGCCAAAAATATGTAAATAAGTAAATAACAAAAAAGACTGTCACCTTATTTTTGAAAAAATGGACAGAAATATTTAAAATTAAATACAATTGAAAGTTTTATCATTCAGTCACAAAAAAAGGAATTTATTTTGCAGCTATCAATACAAAAAGGAGAATCTAATATGTGTATCAATAACTACTAAAAGTAAGCTTTAAAAGTATAATTTCCAACTAAATCCATAATGAATGATCAGAATATATTTATGACAAGAAAAGGTACAAGCAACAAAGGATAAAACATTTTATCCATTCTTCCTCTACAGTCCCTTTTATTTCAGGAGAGAACTTTAGTTTAGATCTTCATAGACTCACGTCAGACTATTAAAATTAGTCCCCTAAATAGTTTTCCTTGCTTCAATCACATTAATCCTCTCATTTCCTGTTCAAAACCTTTACTAGTTCTCCAAAAAACAAACTCTAAACTCTTTGGCCTAGCATATAGTTGGTACCACTCTATATTTCTAAATATATCACTTCTTCTTAGTGCTCATTAAAAGACACCAACCCTCCTCCACTCCACCCTCAGACCCAATCACATTAACAATTTATTCCTGCATTTCTTCATAATTCTAGGCTTCCTGAAGTCCCCTTTCCTTTCCCTTATGCCCATATGCCTGAGTTCTACCCTTGACTCCAGGTCTCCCACAACACCTTCCTCAGCCAGGCTAGAGTCCATATGGTTCATACCACCTGCAATGTCCTTTGTATATACCATCTCCTAGACAATACTTATTCTAGTATATAATTTATGACTTCATCTGTACTGCAAAACTTAAGGATATTTCTTTTACCACTTCTTTGTAGTCTAGTACTTTTTAATCCAACCCCTAACTCCCAACTATCATGATGACCAGAGAAGTATTTTTTTAATGCAGGTATTCAGCTAGCATCTGCTAAGTCAAAGACATGTAATAGCAATGACACATGAAAATTAAAAGTGAATTATTCCTTAACAATATACAAACAATTTGGACCAGATAAGATTTTTGAGAAGCTAATTTTTAAAAATTCTGAGAATTTAAAATCCAAGATGGAGGACTTCTAACTTGCCTCTTCCAACAGAAACGGTGATGAGTTTGCCCTGGACACCATAATTTTCCAGTGTGCCCCAGAGGAAACTCTCAGCCTATGAGAATTCACTGTAAATGCCTGCTTTCTTGTCTGTCTATACTAGCAAGGATAGCATGTTCCAATTCTGATCTCTAGGTTATCAACAACTCATGCAGGAGGAACTCAGTCAATGATTGATTTAGTACCATGATTATCTAAACACAATTAAAGAATAACCTTAACTAGGCACATAAATGTTAAGTAAACTTAATTTATGACTGTGCAATTTCAAGTGAGACATATGGTTGAAATTCTAAGGACTAGTTTATGTAAGTATTAACCACAATAACAAATACACAAACTTTAAGATAAATCCTATGTGGACATACGTGTGTGCATGTGCATTTCATAGAACATTTCTAGAAGAAAGAACAATTTTGGATAGAAAAAATGAAAAATGGGCACTTTGGGAGGCTGAGGCAGGAGGATGGCTTGAAGCCAGGAGTTCAAGACCTGCCTGGGCAACAAAGTGAGACTCCCATGTCTACAAAAAGTATTTAAAAATTTTAAAATTAATGGGCCACATTGTTGTGTGCCTGTAGTACCAGCTACTTAGAAAGCTGGTACTACAGGGAAGTATTGCTTGAGTTTAGGAGTTCGAGGCTGCAGTGGGCTAGGATCTTGCCACTGCACTCCAGCCTGGGCAAAAGACTGAGACCCTGTCTCCAAAAATAAATAAATAAATAAATAAGAAAATGTTCTACTTTCTACTCATCTGTGTTCCTTTTCTTTAAATCATAGAACGTGTATAACTTTCCAGTTAACTCCTTTCCGCCTACCCTTACCCCATGGAAAGGGTAAACTAATGGTAGTTAAAACATTTAGTATCCTGTTAGAGTGAACTAATAGAAATGTTAGCTGTTAAGAGCTGAGCATGAAAGAAAACATAGACTAGACAGTGAGGATTTGGGGGTCCAATAGGGAGATTTTATTTTTGTGGCTTAATTTCTATATAACAATGGACAAACTCCTTCTACTTAGTACCTCCTAATTTAAATTCTTCTTTCATCTATGTGTCCAACACATCTACATATTAAAGGAGAGAACTACCCAAAGCCATAATCCATCTTTCCAAGCAGTAAAAAGAAACCATAAAACTCTCTTCCCAAGGTACAAGAGAGCAATAAGAAAAGTTTCTCATTAGATGTTCCATAAAAAGAAGCAGCTCCTGGCCGAGTATGGTGGCTCACCTCTGTAATCCCAGCACTTTGGGAGGCCTAGGTGAGTAGATTGCCTGAGATCGGGAGTTTGAGACCAGCCTGGCCAGCATGGTGAAACCCCGTCTCTACTAAAAATACAAAAATTAGCCTGGCGTGGTAGCGGGTGCCTGTAATCCCAGCTACTTGGGAAGCTGAGGCAGAAGAATCGCTTGAACCCAGGAGGCGGAGGTTACAGTGAGCTAAGATCGTACCACTGCACTCCAATCTGGGCAATGGAGCAAGACTCCATCTCACAAAAAAGAAAAAAGAAAAAAAAGCTTCTTCTCTGCAGTGACTTTGACTAAAATGTAATGTTTTATAAATTAAGTGCTCAGTACTTATAATGGAAGTTGTACACTGAAAAACATCTGGGCATCACACATCTACTCTCTTTTCTTTTGCCAGAGTAAAGAAGCGTGATCTTCTGTGGAAGACTTCAAACCATGTGACGTAAGTCTCTTAGAGGCAGAGACCATGTTGTGCTCATCTTCATACACCAAGCCACTAAAATAATCTAGCAAATAGCAGCCTCTTAGTGACCACTGGTTCAGTGAACAACATTTTCTCAAATAGTATACACTTATAGATATCAACAGAATAACATAACTCTGACAAATAAGAAAACAATAGTTTCTATACCTACTGGATTGTCATTTTTACTTACAAAACATATTTTAAAATAAATGACAAAGGTCAGCTTGATGAATAAGTGACTCAGAAACCAGTTTGGTTTTGTTTTTGTTTTTTCGAGATGGAGTCTCACCATCACCCATCCTGGAGTGCAATGGAGCGATCTCGGCTCACTGCAACCTTTGTCACCCAGGTTCAAGCCATTCTCCAATCTCAGCCTCCTGAGTAGCTGGGACTACAGGCACATGCCACTACGCCTTGCTAAGTTTGTATTTTTAGCAGAGTCGGGGTTTCACCATGTTGGCTAGGCTGGTCTTGAACTCCTGACCTCAAGTGATCCCCCACCTCAACCTCCCAAAGTGCTGGGATTACAGGCATAAGCCACCATGCCCAGCCTCCAGTTTGGTTTTATACTAGCCCAGGAAGCATTTCCCGAGCTACTCTAGTGAACTGCAGGAGGTTTGACATGATGCTATTAAAAGAGAAGGATGGAGGTGAGGTGGCCACAGGATATTGGGAATGGGTAATTCTCAGTCCTGTCCTACTTCCTTCAGGCCAGGAGAGCTGTGTACACACCTTGACATAGTCTAGTTTCTATGTCTGTGACTGAACAGAAAAATAATATTTTTTTCTTTCAAGAACCAGGAATCCTATTTGTACCTTGCAACGTTTCTGGAATATCTCTCGGGGTCTCATCTTCTCTCTACCTTGCAAAGATAAGAAGAATTTGCTTTTCCTACCATTCCGGCCATCTGGAAGACCCTCTTTATTTCATTCCTTCTAGTAAATAGCCAGTCTGTGTTCAAATTGCATGGGAACATGCATCCTTGTTCCTTTGCCTTCCCCTTTTAATTTTCTTCTTCTTTAGTTCCTGTCCCAAGATTCATTTTTCTACATCGAGCTCTTGTTTCCTGTATTTTATTTTGCTGGCTACATCATTTCACTCACTGGGTGGGAGGGAAATTCAGGATCAATCTCCTCAAAATCACAAAGAAGTTATAGTTCTGACAACAACCAGACTCTCGTGACCTTTATATTAATGCAGTAAACCACAAATTTTCAAATTTTCAAATTTTTACTATCAGTTATTTTAAAAGGAGGCAGATAGTTTAGAGAACCTTGCAGATTTACAGAAGTTTTAGTTATTAAAACTAGATAATTCATTCCAAACAGTTTTAATACTTTCTCAACCTCAAGTTCAAACCATGTCACCAAAAGAAAGTTGCAAAACAGCAATGCACTTACCTGAGGGTATGGGGAAGTCCTGGATTTTGACTTTGAGCTGGAGAGCCGGGATTTGGCCCCCTTTCTGTTGTCAGTCATGGTTGGGGTGGAGCTGCTGGTATAGGAGAAGGCTGGTTTGGAGACTGAGATCTGATCCAGGGAGAGCTGCAGCCCTTTGTATTCTGTGTCTCTGCAGGGTGGAAGGACAAAGCCCTTAATCAGCCACCATAGGAAATGGATTCATGCATACTCTCATCAGGAATGATAGTAATCCATATTTGAAAAGAAGGCAAGCAAAAGTTAGCCCTATAACTAACTTCCACAAGCACCTGGATTATTCTAGCAAGGCCTAATATTTAACTAGTGTGCTGATAATAATGTATTTCTCATTATTTTTATTAGTTAAGTGGAAAATAAGCACATAATTCATATTTTCTGAACTTCTGTGAGCTCTTTGATGAGATATGAATTAAACAACCTACTCTACAGGTTTCTTATGTGGGGTGGTCATCTGATGCTACCAGATTATTGGTAGCATGTCTACCACCAATATAAGGAGAATGTCTACTGTCAGCTGTTCTAAGATCAATCATTCTGGTAAACATTCAAAGCATTCTTAAAGTTAGCTAACTAGTTTAAGCAGGATTATAAATAGTTAAAAATTCCTCTCAACAGGTTAATTCAGTTACTTTAGGTACATTTTACCACCGTTTTTTCCATTCCTTCCTTTATTCAATAAATATTTATTGAGTTCCTAATATACACCAGACTTTGTGCTACATAAGGATGTAAGAATAAATAAGATACCTATAAACCCTGCCCTTGTGTGGATTATAATACACTGGGGAGAAGAAACAGTAAACAAATAAACATACATAATAACTGCAGACTGTGGTATGAAGCTTATCTTAGGAAGCTCATTTCAAAGGTATACTTGAGATATCTAGGGGCCGAAGATGACAGCCTTGGCCTGCCCATAGATACAACCTCTGCTGGCTTCTAGACAGCAGTGAATCTCATTGGACTCCTCAGTTTTCATAAGAGGACATTAACCCTTTCCACTGGCAGCCAAAATAAAATGTTTTAGAGAGTCTTCTTTATGAAGACTCATGGGAGAATTTTCTCTCAGGTTCCGGAACTCACTGGGCTGCCCCTGGGTAATTGATTTATTTTGATCTCATGAAACTGTGAATCATATAGCTCATCAAGTTTCCCTCTTTGCACTAAAAGTCAAAAGTCCCCAAGCCCTGAGTCTGATTTGTAATCACTTCTAGCAAGTGTACAAAGTCCTCATGCCATGCATTTTGTGCAACACACTCCACTGGCTTCTCTTATTTTTCTTATTTTTCACTTTCTCTGATTCTCTAATGGGTTTGCCTTTTAAAATTTTTTACATGCATTTTTAATTGTCTTTGGATTGAGAAGCATATAAAACCTGATTTTTTTTTTTTTTTTTTTTTTTTTTAAGACAGAGTCTCACTCTGTCACCCAGGCTGGAGTGCAGTGGCGCAATCTCAGTTCACTGCAGATTCCACCTCTTGGGTTCAAGCGATTTTCTTGTCTCAGCCCCCCAAGTAGCTGGGATTACAGGCAGCCACCACAATGCCTGCCTAATTTTTGTATTTTTAGTAGAGACAGGGTTTTGCCATGTTGGCCAGACTGGTCTCGAACTTCTGACCTCAGGTGATCCACCCACCTTGGCCTCCCAAAGTGCTGAGATCACAGGCGTAGGCCACTGCACCCAGCCTAAAACCCAATAAATTAATAAAATCATATATGTAAAAGTGACCAGCACATTCAGTTATCAGCAAATATCCAGTGATCAGCAAATATTCAGTTATCTTCTTTTCTTTGACCCTATTGGTTCTTCTATAGCAAGATCAGGCAAAAGCAAAAGTATAATTCAGTACTTGAAAATTGCTAATAGAGTGGATTTAAAATATTTTCACCACACAAACACACACACACACACACACACACAGACATAATGATGAGTATGTGAGGTAATGCACATGTTAGTTTGATTTAGATTTTCCACAGTGTATACATACATCAAAACATCACGTTGTACATCACAGATATACATTTTTTACTTGTCAATTTAAAATGGATAAAATATAATTCAGACAAGGAGACTCTTAAGTGAGTAAGAATAGAAACCAGCTAAAACAGCTCCAACCATATCACTGCCACAAAACACAGGGAAGTGATGTATATCAGCAAATTACAATGGCTTCCTATCAAATAATCTATCCACTCAATGCAAGCTTTCTTTAAAAAAAAAAAAAAGTTCTTCTACATAAACAGTAAAAATTTAGAAAGTGAACCTGCAATTTGTCTTTCAGGCCTGGGAAGTCCTATCCCATCACTGGTCTGCTTTTCAGCTCTAATCAACTCCTTTTAAGGACCATATAGACTCTGAGCACTCTGTCAGAAATGGAATAACTTTCAAAATGCTGCTCCCATTTGCTTTTTTGAAAATATTTCAAAATTTTCCTTCATCTACCCCTTCCTTCATTAAAACAGTTGTCCCTAAATTGACTTTAAACTCTCTTGGTTCTTCTTAACCTATAAAACTCTTCTTAACTCCCACTTGCCTCTATGAAGCCCTTCCTGACTGCTAAAGCTATTTATTGAATCCATATTTACTGAGTGTCTTTTCTGTATGGGGCCCTGTTCTGGGGACAGGGAGACATCAATGAACACAAGAACTAAGTTCCTACCCCTCATGAAGAAGGTACCTGAGTATTGTGGGGAAGGAAGCAAGAACTATCCTTTTCCACCTCTAGCCTTACTTTTCAAGTGATTATGTCTTGTCTTTCTCAGCGGATTCTAAGTCCCTAGAGGACAAGAGTTAAGAGATATTTTATTATATTCCAATGACCATTTGCACAGTATTTCACATAGAAGAAAGAGGAAGACGATAACAAGGATGAAACTAAGAAAGATTGTTTTCCCCAGTGACTACTAATAACTTGCAACCCAATATCCTTTCTGCACGATAAAAAACTCAGATGGGCTATGAGTCCTCTGACCTACCTGCCATTAGACATCAGTGAGCCAAGTTAACTGGACTCTAACAGGAGGTAGAGCCTCCACCCTTGGGCATTTCCTGTGTCAAATGCACTTCCGTTCATTGGACAATAGTCCAGTAGACATTTAGTTTCTGCTGGACAGGATCTAGACAGACAATAAGAATTGTGCACCCATGAAAGTTTGGCCAAATAACTTGGTAAACTCATTCCTAGTGCTGCATCTCAGCCCAGGGGTTTTATGGCTATAAGCAGGGAATAAGCAAGGATTTATTTTTCTCTTGCACACTTTCAGATCCCGCCCCCGCCCAGGGTATGCATCTCACTGTTGAAAAAGTCTTACCAAAATTTTTGCATGGCTTCTAATAACAGAAATACTTTAAATTAAGTAGGTTTAAATAACATGTAAAACCAAGACATAGTTTAAAATTTCACATATTCACATGAAAACTCTAAAAAAATAAGAAGAGTTATACAAATACTCTTGATAAATTAAACAAATATTAATGCTTTGGTACACATCAAAAATACAAAAATAATCCACCAAAATGTAACGGAAGACCATGATGGCAGGTTGATCAGTGGTTTAAGCTAACCTCTGCCTCTATGTATAGGCCTCAATTTCTTTCTTGTAACTCATACGGATTTGGTGAATTTTTTTATTTTGTTCTGTTTTGTTTTGTTTGAGACAGGGTCTTGCTCTCTCACCCAAGTTGGAGTGCAGTGGTGCAACCTTGGCTCACTGCAGCCTCAACCTCCCTGGCTCAAGTGATCCTCCCATCTCAGCCTCCCAAGTAGCTGGGACTATAGGCATGCACCACCATGCTCAACTGATTTTTTTATTTTTTTATTTTTGATAAACATGAGATCTCTCTGTGTTGCCCAGGTTGGTCTCATACTCCCAGGCTCAAGTGATCCTACTTGCCTTGGCCTCCCAAAGTACTGGGATTACAGGGGTGAGCCACCATGACTAGCCTTGGATTTGGTGAAGTTTAGATGAAATATTCTATGAAAAACTCATAGCACAGTGCCTAGAACATAGTAAATGCTCAATAAATAGCATTATATCTTACCTTCCAAACTGTGTGACAAGTTTTGGCACCTGCTATCCCCAGAACAATAGTTTCACTTTGGTAATGATTACAATAAATTTCATTATAAAAACCTTTTGCTGTATTTCATTCCTTTCTATCCCTGATATGGTTTAGCTGTGTCCCCACCCAAATCTCAACTTGAATTGCATATCAGGGACCCAGGGGGAAGTAATTGAATCATGGAGGCCAGTCTTTCCCATGCTATTCTTGTGATAGTGAGTAAGTCTCACAAGATCTGATGGGTTGATCAGGGGTTTCTGCTTTTGCTTTTTCCTCATTTTCTCTTGCCACTGCCATGCAAGAAGTTCCTTTTACCTCCTGCCATGATTCTGAGGCCTCCCCAGGCATGTGGGACTGTAAGTCCAATTAAACCTCTTTTTTTTTTCCCAGTCTTGGGCATGTCTTTATCAGCAGTGTGAAAACAGACTAATACAATCCTAGACCATTTTAATTTACTCTGTTACTTTTTGGCCTCTAAAATCTATTGCAGTATGGCCAGAATACTTTTTAAGGTAAATTCTTTATTGCTAAGTCAGCAAATGGGGACCTTATGGCAACACAGTCACTCTGAGAGGAATTTGGCCTTCCTGCCTCTCTGTTCAAAACTCCAACAGCTCAAAAGATGTGCTAGGATGGAAAGCACAATAAAAAATACCCACTTAAAGCCATTTCAAGTACGGTTGATGTGCTGCCAAGAGCAGCTCTGAATGGCAGATTCACTAAGAACAAAGCATTTGTTTTACTTTTAGAATTCTATTAAATTGAGCGTTTCACTTGTATAGCTTAAAGGGCTAAATGCTGATGGAAATCACATTATGAGCTCCATTTTCTTCCTCCTAACCCAGACACAAATTGCCTGGCCCTACCCTCTTCCTTTCATTTCGTGAGGCACTTTCTGGTATCGCATATGTCCTCAAAGTTACATGCATGCTCAGTAGAATCATATATTTAATGCTTCCTCGTGGAGTGGAACAAAGTAAAATACTCAGCTGCACAGAACTTAGACTCTTAAATCAGTGTGGTAAGAAATTTGACTTATCCAATTTTCTAAATGAAGGACAGCA